CGTGGCTGACTTCGGGGCTGCGGCAGGCGAGATACCCAACCTGGACAGGTCAGATCTGGAGACCATTGCAGGAGTCGCAGGAAGTCTTCTTCAGTGCAGACGCATAGAGGCAATGCCTAGAAGCAAATCACAACCAACACTCCAGCCGGGCAGCAGGAAATCTCTCAACTCAGTATTCGCGGCCATACGCGCGATGCCAGCAGACCGTCGATGCAAGCCTTTGGACCAGACCTGATCTCAAGCTTGAGTGGCGTTTCGTCGAATCTCACCGGTGTTGCAGCTGCTAAGCTGTACTTGGTCAATACGCTTGGCTGCTACAGCACCTGTGGCTTCCCCAAGTCTCGCGACTACTGCCCAGGACCCTTTCCATGACGGGCTGTCGATGGAGACATGTGACAGTCAAGAAACTGTGTGGGTCAATGAAGCCAGAAAAGACACAGCAGGTGTGTGCCACCATCGCAAGGCCTGCAGGGAGATTGCATCCGACCCAACCCGCACACACTACTTAGCACCGTTCAAGTCATTTGCTCTGGCCTTGGATGGTTCGACAACTAAACTGTGGACTACATCAGAGAGTGTAACTTTGCTATGCAGAAAGCTTCGTCTGCCATCTGCTAGAAGCTGCGAGGCCATTCACAGGACAGGAAAGAAGGGGTGCGAGATGCAGTGTGACGTAGCTTGTCGGATGCCTGGTGTTCCACTCTGGCCGGTGCCACGGGAGTCGGAGGCAAACGAAATGTCGGTGCAGACGGTGCTGTCAGCATACCTTCACTCAGATCGGACCAGTGCGGGTTTTAATTTAAGGTCGACCATGGTTCGCTTAGGGTCGCCAGTACATCTGACAGCCTTCTGAAGACAACAGACAAAGCAAGCATTGATGAACAGCAAAGCGATCGCAATTTATTTCACGAAATCACCGGACAATGGTCGCTGTGTCTAGGTCACTCGCCTGCATTCATGAGTTGGCTGCACTCCAACCGTGCCAGCGCAAATTTCGATGCAGCTCTACAGTGGTGCTACCGGGATCTATCCTCTCTGAGCCATAGCTGCGAAGTCGCCGTCGCTCCTGCACTCGACATATTCTCTCATCGTGTCCAGCTCAGCAGCAAACGACGGCGGCACCCCCCAACACAGCAGAAATGTGCCTGCACCACCACCACTACCGCCGCCTGCCGCCACCACCAGCAGCACTACCACCGTGTCCACCCTCGCAGCTGCTGCCAGCAGCAGCAGCAGCAGCAGCAGCAGTAATATGCAGCAACAAAACCACCAACACAACTACAGCAACAGCAGCAGTAGCAGCACCAGCAGCAGCAGCAGCAGCAGCCGCGGCAGTGCTTCTGGCGAGAAATGTGGAACACTTGACAGATCCATTATGTTGAGCCAAATACAGCCCTTGTACTAAGGCCAGTACTGATATTCTCATCCACCTGTCAAAATGCATGAAAAGCTCTGTCAGGCATAGACTTATGAACATGCCTGGTCTGCGCCGTGGCAAGCATTGATGGTTCCGCTGAGCCGCGGACTGGGTATGCGGAGAGTTGATGTCTGCATTGCAGAATTCTCGCCGTCGGCACCGGCACTGCCTAACCTTGAGGACATGCTGGTCTCGTGAAGCAGCCTCATTGCAAAGATCCCTACCCACCATGCGTGCTCGTCTGCGCAAGCAAGTAAAGCTCGAGGGGTAGCATGGCTGCGGTTCGAGTTTGTCTTGCTTAGGCTATGTTTAGATTGTCTTCCTCGTGCAGCGACGCTTTCGACGAAAAAACTCACGATTAAGGCCATCGAGCGCCTGCCTGACACAGATCACCCTTCCGAGACTGCCACTGCTCGGACTTCTACCCACTGCCGATTTTCCAAGCATGCAGCCGATTTCGTTAGCTCAAAGGACAGAATTCGGCGACTCCGGCAGAGTCCCTTTCAAACGTTCCAGCTCTTCGCGCCTCAAGGCAGGGAAACAAACGCGATTCGGCCTTGGAAAGATCTCAAGAAAGAACAACAAAGAGCAGCTCAGTTGCAGGCAAGGCCGCCTCTCTATGCTCTCCTGCACTTCGCTCCACTTTCGGACGGTACAAGCAAAGCCATCCAGGCACTCACGTTTGGCTTCAGCTTCCTTAGAGTTTTCTCAGCTCATCTCACCTGAATCGTGCTCGATTTGATATCAACCTGGCAGCTTCCGAAGCTCTTTGCCATGAAACTAGGCACCAAGCTCGGCATGGGCTTCAGTACCAAGTTGGTAAAGCCGCAGGTTCGCGCCGACATGAAGCAGCGATACAGTAACATAGTACCTGTAACAGAATTCTGCACAAACAACTGTGACAGCATTTGCCAACCATTTGGGAAGCAGAGCGCTGGAGACCTGAGACCGATTAACTAGTTTACAAAGCCTAACCTAGCAGAACCTAGCAGCAGTTCGGCTGCTCCGAACAAGCGACATGCTTGCAGGCCAGGACAGCAGGATCATGTCTTGCTGTCCTTCTGCAAGGTGCTGAGCGAAGGCCCTTTTTAGCTCATCAAGCTCCTGCACATTGAAACAATGACATACACGACTAAGTGGACTCCGAAGTACGACGGTTGGACGAGATGGAGTGCTTCAGGGTCCTCCCGGTAAGGAGCGCCCTTCAGCCCTCGGAGCCCAACCTGGCCAGGGTGAGGTCACCACAGGGCTTTGCAACGAAATCGGCAAGGCCACCTCTGCTTCTTGCAAGGCTGTTGCGACTGCCAAGAGCCTTTCGCCGAGGGGGCACGCAGCCAGCGGCGTAGCTGCCTGGTGAAACTTAAGCTCGAGGCTCCCGAGGCTTCGCTTCGCCGTGCCATGGTCAAGACTTCAGATCATAAAGAGATGCCCTACAAGTACCACTGCGGCAGCAGAGTCAACACCGACTGCGAGCCAAGTTCTGCCCAAGCTCAATCGCCGCTTTGCTGGCCTCTGTGCGCGCTGGCGCGATCGCAACGTCTTTCGCTGCATCCGATTCGAAACCGCGCGAGCAGAACACGAACATATCAAAGAGCACAGCCTCTGCACAAGTTATGTCTGGCCCCGGAAGTAGCGACAACTGGCGCCGGTGCAAACCCCAACCCCGAAACCCTAAACTAGTAATTTTGTGGTCTTCTTCTTGGGTTCTGGTGGTCGTGGTGGCGACGGTGGTGGCGGCGGGGGGTGCGCTGTGGTATGCGGTGGTGGGAACGTGCGCCAACGAAAAAGAACCTCGGGTCGTGTGCTCGGGAAACATTGAGTATACAGGGGGGGGGGGGGGGGGGGG